TGAGGGTAAGCGAGGCCCCCGTTATCGGACTCAGGGTGGTAGTCGGAAGGGTCGCTGGAACGGGACGTTGAGAACAACAATTATTCCTCTAAAAAAACACCCAACACGCTAACTTTAAGAACTGACAGCTTCTGCTAATTCTGACGAAAGATGAAAATGAACATTACTTCATCTATTTTCATCCAGCACAAAAGGTAAGCATTCCTTGGATCATGATATAGATCACACGCTCGCCAAACCAATATACCGACGGCCATCCTTTTCATATAAATAAACTTCTAAAGAAGACTTACGTATACAGGATAATGCCTGAAGCGTTGAACCTCTCGGCATTAAGAACTTTATCACCCCTAAAAATGGATCCGAACTTGGCGATCACAACACGACCTGCGACCTTGATTCCCATCTCCTCCACCGCAACGAAGTCCTCATACGTTCCATAGTTGACGAAGACCAGCTCGTCCTATGGTGATTTAGTATTGGTTTATCAGTGTTCTATCTGTTGTTAAAATTTGTTTAGACGTAGAGGTAACACGGTAAAGCTGAAAACGTGATACATATATATATATATATATATATATATATATATATATATATATATATATATATATATATATATATATATATATATTTATATATATATATATATATATATATATATAATAGTAAAAATAATAATAATAATAATAATAATAATAATAATAATAATCCCGTACAATCTGGCAATGGGAAAAAGCAGATTGGCAAGGCATGTGTGATTCATTATCTGAAGCACCCTGAGAAGACATTTTCACTGGTACTGTTGTCGGACAAGCAATGGCCCTTACTTAATCACTAGTCATCCTACAAGCAATGTATGTACCTAACAAGACATGCAGGACAAAATCCACGGATTATGGTCTGGTTACAATTGTAGAATGACATCTGACAAGATGAGAGCTTGGAACCGTTATAAGCGCCATCCCACACAAAGAAATAAAGATGGCCATGCTGTAGCTTGCAAGAGAATGAAAGCGGTCAAAAAATGGGCAATTAATCGATGGAAGGAGGACCTTCGATTGAAACTCACTGGTCGTTCTGTGGGAAATAAAGCCTGGTGGAGCTGCATGAAACAGCAACAAGGATTTTCACCTGACGACTGCATATCCCCTCTCTCCAGCAGAGAGAAACTCTACTGACATCGCTCTTCCCCGAAAAGATGAAAGTTCATGACACAGACCGACCTTCTCCTAGTCTGTCTCTTGTGACTCACTTGAAGCTCAATTCGTTCATGATCACGAAGTCAACATTCTTGGCGTGCATATTGATAATCACCTAACAATAAGTTAGCAAAGAACGCAGGGAGAAAGTAAGCCTGTATACGACGCTTCGCTCCTCTGTTAGACAACTCCCAAGTCCGCTTTATGATGGAACATTCACCACTTGCCTGGCTGTCCTGCCCGCTAACTCATCTTGCCCTCCTGGACACCGTTCAAAACAGAGCCCAGCGGCTAGTGGAACGGAAGACGCCCGTAAATGAACCGCCAACTCATTCAGTCCCTTCAACATCGGAGAAATGTGGCTGGTCTTTGCGTCTTCTACAAGATGCATAAACAAAATAGTTCCCCGTTGACATCGCTACGACTTCCACCACCTACGTACGGGACAAGAAACGCAAGTAATCAAGTCCAAGAAGTCCAGGTTCCCTTCGCGAGAACAGGACTCTACCTTCCTGCCTAGATTTTCTAGAAGGTAAACATTTTAGTCAAGCAAAATAACCTGCTTTATCTCGACACATTACAGCTGTTCAATTCAGCAGTGAATGCTTGGAGATTACAATATGAACCAAGTTAACTAATTTCCACTTGTAATTTTTAGTTAGACTAGCTTCTTTTATCAGAATTGATTTATAAATATTTGTATTAAGCTCTAGATAATTTTGTCTTTAATGGAAAATTCTAGCACATATAAGATTAATAAAAAGAACTGTATTTTACAGACCATGTAACTTTTGGAATAAAGTCTATAAAAAAGGAAAGGAAGAGGGAGAGGAAGAGCAGAGGGAGGGAGGGGTGTGGTGGGAGAGGGAGAGCGAGAGGGAGAGAGAGAGAGAGAGAGAGAGAGAGAGAGAGAGAGAGAGAGAGAGAGAGAGAGAGAGAGAGAGAGAGAGAGAGAGAGACGGAGGGAGAAGGGGGAGGAAGGAGAGAGAGAGGGCGAGGAAGAAGGAGAGAGAAAGGAGGGGGGGGGGGGGGTAAACAGATAAAGAGAGAGAAGAGAAATAAAGAGAGAGAGGGAGAAGTAAAATAAAGAGAGAGAGAGAGGGGGGGGGAGGGAGAGAGGGAGAGAGAGAGGGCGAGGAAGAGGGAGAGGGAATGGAGGGGGGGGAGATAAACAGATAAACAGAGGAAGAAGAGAAATAAATAGAGAGAGAAAGAGAGAGAGAGAGAGAGAGAGAGGGAGGGATGGAGGGAGAAGGGGGAGGAGGGAGAGAGAGAGAGAGAGAGAGAGAGAGAGAGAAAGA